AGAGCTTGAGAGTTGTTATCAAGTTTTGTGGCAGAATTATTTTGACTACGAAAGTCTCTGCTCTCTACTCATCTTAGCAACGAGATAATCAGAGAGCGAAGCTTCTCTGAAACAGCATGAAAAACTTTCCTACTACAGAACAGACTTTAAATCAAGATGGATGCTATTGGGACAATCTTAGGACTACATATCCCATTCTAATACACATAAAAACACAAATCATCACAGGGATCACCTTGCTAGGTCCTCTAAATAAAGTAAATTTGTCAGATTCTACTCCATTAATAAGTACAGTAGCACCTGCTCCTATGTGTACTTCCTTTAGAACTTTAAGAAAATTTTTACCCATATTCATCGTTTCCAAAAGATCAAACATAAATTTCCATTCCACCCGATCAAAGACCTTAAGGGCATCCAGTTAGAGTATTGCTATCTTTTTTTCTTTATTAGCTTATATATAATATTCAGTACTCTCCGGATAGCATTTCGCATTTGTCTTCCTGGCATAAAACCATATTGATCTGTATGAACATATTTAGTTACAAAACTACTTAATCTTTGTGCCAGTATTGTTGATAAAAAAATTTTGATCTTGATTTTGCAGTGTTATAGGTCTATAAGATGAAGGAGACATTGGATCTTTTTCTGGTTTTAATATAGTTATTATTCTGGCCATATGTCATGACTGGTATTTCCTCACCACCCAAAATTGAATTAAATAGTTTCTATGACATCTTCTTCATATACTTTATAGAAATTAGCTGTGAATCCATCACAGCCTGGTGCTTTTCCTTTCTTAAGTTTTTTAATAACTGAACTTATCTCAGTTTTGGGCTGTTTAAATAATTTTTGTTTCTCTAAAATTTGGTTTATTGGTAATGTGTGTATAAATTTCTTGGTGTTTATATCAGGTGTTACTTCTGATTTATATAAATATTTATAATATTCCATAAATGTAGAGAGTATTTGTTGCTGTGAATTTACCATTATTCCTTCCTTCATTTTTAATGAGACAATTGTTCTTTTTGCTACCACCTTTTTAACTGCATATGATAGCAGTTTAGTGTTCATAATATTCTCTCTTTAAATAGTTCATAGCAGTCTGAACCTTTGCTGTATCCAATGCCTCTAACTCTGCTCTAGTTTTTGTTAGTTCATTAAATATGTTCTTGGTTCCTAATTGTTTATGTTGTTCTGATAGTTTTTTTATTTTACTTTCTAATTGTTCTTGGAGCTTATTTCGTTCTTTCTTTATTCTAGAGGTGTCCATAATAAAAATTCCTCTTAGGTAGGCTTTTAGGGCATCCCGTAGCAATGCTGATTTTATTTCTGCAGTAGCATTTATTTTATGTACATTTTTAAGTTCTTTATTTTTCCAATAATTTCTGTATTTAAACATACGTTAGAGCTCAACCTCCAAATTCTAGATTTACTCTTTGCTTCATTGACCCAAGAAAGTTTTAATGGTGCATGGTCAGAGGCTATCTCTGGGGCAGATTGTATTTTGTCCAGATTTGAGACCAAAGTGTTTGAAATAAGGAAGTGATCAATCTGTCACTTTAGGTTTTAAATATCTCCACCCATCAATTAAACCTGATCTCTCTATTAGCTTCCTAGTTTTATTACCATCATTTGATACCTTTCTATTTTTTGATGTTAAATCGATTTTGTTTAAAATACAAGTTGTTTCTCCACCTAGGATACTTTCTCCCCAGGCAAATTCTTTTACCTTTCTTTAAAAGTTCTGCATAAAATTTGCTTGACCTATGTTGGGGGTGTAATAAGAACCAATAGTTAATCATTTGTCATTCAATTTTCCTTTTACTATAATATATCTGCATTTAGGATCTCCCATATAATTTGTCACTTCAAATTTTGAATTCTTCATGAAGATTAGCCTTATGTGTTCCATTTGCGATATATTGTTCACCTAACATTGAGTGCTTAATGATCTCTTTCTTGTCCTTATTTTGATGAGTCTCCTGTAACAACAACACATCTACTCTTCGTGACTCTATATCATTTCACTATCTTTTCATGACAGAGGCTCATGGACAGAATCATAACCATAAAGCACACTAAATGCAAGAGATTTAGTTAAGGAGAATCATCCAGTATGATGAGCAGACATCTGTTATTACTTGAGGGAGCACCTCTTCTAAAGTCATGCTAAAGGTATTGTTTAGCTTGACCTTCAGAATTACCATTCCACTCACATCCATTAATGAAGTAACTAAGCACTTAACAAGTTCCCTTATAGTAAGTTTAATCATTTGTCCATCAAGTTCAGCATTATTCACACTTTTTCCTTTGAATGATTATTGAACCACAAGGAAGGACAACAGTTGGGGTTTGTAGCGGGACAGAGCCATCCATCCACAGACAGACCCAAAAGGGTCTGGAGTTTTTAGCATTGCCTGATGATATGACTCTTCTTATCTGTGCTAATACGTCTTTGTGCTACCTCTGGTACATACATACTCCCATGAAGTGGCACAGCATATGATCCCACAGAGAGAAAGGCTCAGGAGGACAACGGTGGCCCAGAAGTGTCTTCAGAGCTGGGTGAGGCTCAGCGATACAGGTTCCTCATTGCAACTCTACAGTGCCTACCAACTGCTCTCCCATGGGTCCTTCCTGGTGTTAGTTCTAAGTGGCTAGATGTTGGCAATTCCTTTATGCAGTTCCAGGTGCTACATGATAGACTCTTCAGTGGCTATCATAGTGTCTCCCACACGGTTTGCCTGAATCCGCAGCTGTATATATAGGTATATATGAAAAAAGTTTGCTGTTGTGAACCTGGAATATAAGAATTCTCTCGGAAATGTCAGTCTAGGCCACCTGCAGGCCACGTGTTGCCAAACTCACTCAAGTCTTTGAGCACCAACCAAAATGATCACTGTAGAAATCTACTCACATGAGCTTGTTTATCTGCCTTGTTAATGAATATCAGACGGTTAGAATCTTCATTTACTACCACAAAGCTCTCTTGCTTCAATGATCCTAAAAGGAACATCAGATAGAAGGACAAATGAGAAGAAGCATTCTCTCTGTTCTCTCCCTTTCTAGCCTATGTCTGGTTCGGTTACCGGTTGGGTGTTTGAATCCAGATGAAACATATCAGAAGACAAACACATTATAAAGAAAGGGCTGTGACTCATTGGCTCCAGTCCAGTTCCTGTAACTGCAGAAATTAGCGAGTACCTCATGCGGATTTACCAACCATATCCACAAACCACAGACAGCAAAGTGGTTTCTTGGGGAAGGCAGTTCAAAATATAGCAGGGAGGTCCAAAAAATAAGCAATTATAATCCTTAGCTCACTTGTTGTGAAGCCTATGGATGCTGACTTGCTGTTTTAACTGTAGTCCTCTTCTATAGTTTTTCTCCCCTGGGTTTGTGTTTTATTTTAATAATAAATGCAGTTGCAGCTCCAACACACCCAGTATAATCAGAAAACAAACCACTGAGTCTCTCAGGATACCTCACCTCTAAAATAAATCCGTTCTCTTTATAGGTTCTTTCCATTTTATTGTTGATCTCAGCTAAGGATTGGTGAGTATTCCTCACCCACCTATGTATCTTCTGTATGAATTGCCCCACGAGTGCTCTATGTTCCCATGTGTAGCAAGAGGTAGTATGGAGTCTTTGATTGCTGATTTTCTTTCATTGCGTCCCACCCCACAATTAAAATGTGAACAAGTTGAGAGGAATAGTAATAAAATATCCTATATGAACTATAGTGAAGACCCCCTACTTCAGTGGGAGGGGAGAGGATGTGTGTGAAATGGCAGACGCTTTTCCTCTTTTCAGGTCAACATGTTATAATCACATTGGCAAAATAAGCTATACTCAGAACAATAACTGTAAACCACTATCAAGTCTGGACAGTGCATGAGATATAAAAGGGTTAAATTAATAAATATAATATATATCTTAGCCTAAACAGAGCCACCTTGCTTTCTGTAAATTGCTTTGCTACATAAATGTGTAAACCTAACGTATCAAGGTTTCTGCTTAGCAGAGAAGAATCAACAATAGGAGGGAGGCTACCTGAATTGCTGTTGCCTGCAACAAACTAGTCTGACTGAGAATGTGTCCTTGGTCAGTGATAAGGAACATGGGAGTCTACCATCCCAGAACTGGGAGGGGATGACATCTGCAAATCCTCCTTTCCTCCTGCTCCCCATCCTTTGTCTCCCCTTACTCATTTAAAAGCTATAAAAGTATATTCTGTAATGAGCACAGTGTGCTTCTTCTTCACATGTTTCTGCACGTGAAGTTGCGACTATTTGCTTGCTTTCAGCTGGAAACAAAAAAAATATCTACTGGATCTCTCTCTCTCGGGCTGATTGATTAATGCATTAGTGACAGGCAAAAAGCCAGGAAGTAGTCTTGGCACCCTTCAGTTTTGGCAACCACGAAGGGACTTAGAAGCATAAAATGCCTACCTAAAATTGGCAGAAGGAAGCCTTCAGACTGGCTCCTGGAGAAACCCAGGGTGATCCTAGTCCATCCCAGCGTGCCCTGACCGTATTTGTCAGGGGGACGTGGTCTAGGTTGTCCAGGGCAGATCAGTGAAGCCACAATCGAATACCTCATAAGAGATTCATTGGAAATCACAAAGAGGTCTTTAGGACATGAATATAAAATGGGCAATTGGAGTAGAAGAAGACTTCAAGACGTGAGTACAAACAGGCACGTGTATTTTGTGTATCTTGTCCCCAAATGCTTGAGATGTCCAAATGGATGAATGATTGTGAAGGAGGGTTTCAGTATGCAGTTCTGTTCCCCCCCCCCCAGAACAGTCCGGAAAAAAAACCCCATGCGAATGAAAACAGAGGGCTAGGCCAGCCCTAACCCTAGATTTTCAAGTGACTAGGGCCGAGAAATCTGTATAAGCTATTGCAATACCGTAAGTTTTTACGGGAGAGTAAAATTGAGGGAATAAGTAACGTGGCAAAGTTTTATCACAGCAGCTGCAAGTGATCCTATTAGGATCACTTCACTGCAATGCGTATTAAGCTACAGGGAAATTTTACAAAACTCCAAACAAGTAATAACATTACTAAGAGGGGAAAAGGGGGAAACTGAGGAACGTTTGTATGTTAACCTGACCCACTTATAAACCTGGGTCAAGATTTACCTCACTGACCTTCTATAGGGGCTTGTGATGACACGCTTTTGCATTTAATGAAAAATACTTAGCATTGAACTCTAATTGTGTATCTCCATACATCAGTGACACAACATTCATGAAATAATAGATAAACGTGTTCTTACTGGAGATTTTTCCTCCACAATAGAATTGTATTAAGCAGCAGTTGCATCGTTCATATGCCTATGAACAATCCCAATTAAACCAACTCTTTCCACATTGAGCCTAGAACATCTTGAACATTAATAGGGTAATTTTGCACCAGAGACACTGGTGCAAAATCCCACAGCTTCTGGGATTTTCTCTTGCTTGGTCTAGACCATTAAGGTGCACTCACTAACCACTCTCCTTGCGCCGTATTCTTCACTGCTTTCCAAAGGGGAATGAGGTAAAAGGTAGTATGGAGTCACAAACATACAAGATACTGTACTGCAAAAAGTTTTAAATATGCAGTTCTTGGTTCAATTTGCAATTTTAAGTCCCATTTACTTATTTTGCTGATCTCCTGTGCAGCAATAAATACTGTATTGTGCAACACAGCAAATCAGCATTCCATAAGGCAATTTTAAAAATGGGGGCATCCCAAACAAAACATTATAACTTTGAAGCCGGACCTCAGATCAATACCAAATTTGGCACAGATGTAGCAGACAGTCTGTTCTTGCTGTGTGCAAAATCTGGGGAAGTTTTCAAGATATGATTTTGTTTTACCCACCCACCCCCATGCAGATATCAACAACCCTTTCTTTCTACAGATTTAAAACATATCAAATATATTTAAAATACCAAATTTGCTTCTCTTGAAAGAGAATGGTTAGTCCCAGCCTCCCATGTTTTTATTTGGAAGGAATCCAGACCGCTCACAATTGCAGAAAAATAGCCCTGACGATTGCTTTGTATTTGGGTGAGAAGTGGTTGCTAATGAAAAACGGAGTCAGCTTCTGGGATTTTCTCTTGCTTGGTCTCACTTTGTGAATGATAGTGAGCAGAAGAGGGTATCCTGTAGACCATCTTGCCTGCTGCCATTGGCATTGTCAACATTCATGCTGCCCTTTACTGTGTAAAGCTTGGCACCCCTTTTCCTCCTGCCAATGCAGGCACAATATTGTGCAGCAATATCAGGCCATTTCCTGGCTTTTTGAATTGTGGGTATAGAAACACAATATCCCACATTCATAAACTGGAGAGTTTTTTTTTTTAAAGAAATGAATTAGTACTTGGATAACCTCACCATGATTAGAGGGAAGGAGCTGGGGCAATACAGTGAGCTTATCCGCACAAGGAATGATTGAATAAGGCTCCTGAAATGTGTTCTCATAAGGATGGTGTGCCTGGGATAAAAGATTAATATTTTTCATATATATTCATGTCCCACCCCACCCAGCTATAGGCACTCATAGCAAATGCCTTTCTTGCCTTCCCCTACTCACACTCTTGAAAACATCTGGTGGACATTTGGTTGGGGAAGACTGACACGTAGACTCTTTCCAATAGCAGTGCCAAAGAGATGACTCAGGATGTGGAAATGTGCAGCAGTCAAGATGGTCTACAGGATACCCTCTTCTGCTCACTATCATTCATAAAGTGAATTTCAGGGTGTGGAAACAGGCAGCAGTCACAAACTGCCTTCCATCCAGTTTGTCAGATCTGTATTTTGCAAAATGCTCAAATAGTTAATGCTTCCCTTTTGTTCTGATGCCCTGTTTTTATACTGAATATTTGTGCCAAATATAAATTGCTTTTTTGCATAAGGTGCTCTGATACCGTCTCTTGGATGAAGATGCAGTTTATACATTTTCTAAATTTACCAGTGGTTGTAAACAGTGCCATGTATAATGTCCTTGAATTAAGCCAAAGATCTACCACAATGCTAGCACATGCTGACCACGACCGCAACACACCATATGACAAAAGAGGAAGTTGAAGCTGGCTGAGGCACCATTGAAAAGGGAACTAGTCCATTTGCTAGGCATGCAGCAGGGCAACAGGAGGAAATGTGGAAGAGGTGATGCAGGGAAGGGGCACCATCTTTTAAGAAAAAGTAAGACTCCACAGAAGGAACTGAGGCATCTCTTGGCCACAGGAATGGCATTAATGTAGTGAAACTCTGTTATTTTCACACTGCGGCCTGATTTTCATTTTCCTGTCTTTCTCAGATTTCTGTACAAACTCATGTAGATTTCAATATCATTTAAAGAAGCTGAGAGAAGAATGTCAGGATTGCACCTCTGCTGCAAATCAGGGTGTTGTTTACCTTTGCTTCCTTTTCTACAGTCCTAACAAAAGTTAGCTTGAGCATTACTGCCATTGTTCATGAAAGATCACCTTCTACTCCTGCTGCCACCCAATAGCTGTCCTTCAGGAGTTTTTCTGCCCTCCTTACTCTGGAAATCCTCCATTTTCTTCTTGTGATGTGACTTTTCTTTCTTGAGGAGCATGGATGCATCCTGGGCTGATGTCTCAGCTGTTGATCATTTTGCTTGGAGGGACCCTGCCAGGAGTCTAAATTTGTGGTGGAGTTTAGCCTCCTGGCGGCATTGCTCTCAGCTTCCCTCACACACTCAGACCTCTTGACCATGTTCAGAAGGGGAATATGAGTCCAAACACCTTGTCATTTGGAGCTCCTCCTACAACTGGGTGGCAGCACCACAATCAAGATCAAAGGAGGGAGGTGGCAGGCAACCCTGGGGCAGCTGAAGGTGGCAAGTCATATGTGTGCATACAGACCAAAACAGCACAGTGTCCCAGCTCCCAAAGGCCAGCTGAGGGGCAGCCTGGGGGGGGGAGCAGGAGAACCAAAGGATACAGAGGCTACTAGCAGGTGAAACAGTAACAGTAGCATGACTAAGCCTTGTGGTGCAGTGGTTAAACCGCTGTACTGCAGCCAAAACTGTGCTCACGACCTGGGGTTCAATCCCAGGTAGCCGGCTCAAGGTTTACTCAGCCTTCTATCCTTCCGAGGTCGATAAAATGAGTACCCAGCTCCCTGGGGGATCAATGTGTAGCCTGCCTAATTAACTTGTAAACCTCCCAGAGAGTGCTTGAAGTGCTATGGGGCGGTATATAACCAGCTCGCTTTGCTTTGCTTTTGCTTTGATGCAGGTGTCATTTCCAAAGCAGCCAGTGAAGAATGTTGCTTGTAGCTGGGCTCCCCACTTATGCTGGCCTTGTTCTGTATTCAGTAGTAGCACCAGCATCAGCTGTAGCCTGTGTCAAACGTTTTTCCATTTTACCAACTTAGTCTAAAACGATGCCCCTATATTTCTTTCTTCTTTTTATTCTGCTGATACAGCAGACATGATAACTATCTTTCTGGCAGCAGGTTAATATTAAATATAAAAGCTATGCATTAGACAGATTCTTCACTCCATCACTGAATATTAAATGTATAATTTAATTTATTTAAGGAGATTTTAATTTAATATTGAATAGAAAAAAATTAAATTTCATACATTGAATTGTAAAGTTAATAAATATTAAAACTGGCTAGATACAGTTCATAAATGGGTCCTTTCAAATTGACATATAAGATTTATTGCAAAAATGTGCCCTTTCTTTTTGGTGATGGATCTGTGACTACTCTATCTATCTGAGGAACCGCACCTTCCTCTATGAGCCTGTCTAGGTCTTCAGTTCCTACGGGAACTTTTACCTTTACTGTGTGGAGCACAGCAAACAATGGCAAGTCCTTAAAGAAATGGGAGTGCCTGACCACCTTGTCTATCTCCTGAGAAACCTATATGTGGGACAGGAAGCAACAGTTAGAACTGGATATGGAACCACTGATTGGTTCAAAATTGGGAAAGGAGTAT